TAAAAAGGAACATGTTTCCATCGCCAGCAAAACGTCTACGTTCAATGAGCCTTAAGTAAGGTTTAGTATTTATCTTTTTTTTTCTGTTATACTAAATTCATAATTAGTAAGATTCTTTTTCATTAATTATCCGACTTTTAAAAGAGAAAATCGACCAACAGAGTATGAAATTGGCTAAATACTTCTTACATTGTCTAGGTACTGTATACAATCCCAAACCTGCAAAATATGAAATATGATTATTTTAATTTTTAATTATTAAGAATGTGATTTATTAGTATTGGTTGAAAGTATTTTCCATAAGCAGCAAATAGTATTTTATTCTTATTAATGTGAAAGGCATACATTTTCCTTAATCACTAGGTATTATTAATAATAACTAGATTCACCGGGATAAAAAAAACGACAGGAATGTATGAGCCATTGCCCTGTATTCCCTTCATTGATATCTTCTTAAAGTTATGAAGCTAGGTACCCAGAATTCATTTCATTGATGTTTTCTTAAAGTTAAGGGGCCATTTTCTGGTATGTACTTGCCCTGCATTGCCCACACTGCGTGGAAGTTGGTTAAGTAACAGTTTAATAAAATTTAAGTCACGTATGTTTTACGTAACAAAAAATTGCTTCATTGAATAAAGAAAATGATGCTTCTCTTTGTGGCCATCAAATCAACATTGTGTGCAATGTTGTAGAACATTATGTTCAATGCTAGCATTTTCTGCCGTGCTGATGGCTTTATATGCTTCCTTACTTCCTGCCTATCCCCTTCGCTCCAGCTGGCACATAAGGCATCAAGTCTCTTTTCCAAGCACCTCTATCCTGAACTCCGCCCTCCTCTCATCCATTTAGTTTGACTTGTAACAAATCTTGGTGGACGCATTGTTTCCAATTAAGTTTCGACCTTCCTCTTTTACAATTTCCATCTAGTGATGGAAATTGTAACGATATTTTTTAAACAAAGCGTATGTCGTCCATCTTCTCTTCAAAATTTCATCATGAATGTATGATAATTTTGTTTAGATCTTTATTCGAAATAATGTTAGGCCAGATTGCTTCATTACTAATGTTTACAAAATTCTAGCCTTTAAAATTGATTTCCATCTGATCTATCAAATGACTCGTTATTTTCTAGCATTTATTACAATTACGATCACTGATATATAATTGAAAATAATACTGTTTTTTGCAGCTATAATAAGTTCAGATATCTTCCTCACGATTTGTTCACTGATATGCCAGAGCTTCGAATAGTTGAAATGACAAACAACAGGCTGCAAGTATTAGAAGACTACGTGTGGAAAAACGTTTTTAATCAGCTCACAAAATTGGATTTTTCAGGTAATAATTAATGCTGAATGAACAATCCAGTATATTTTTATACGAGTTTTATCATTATTAACAATTAATAAAACGTTGATTAATTTCGCAATTTTTTGTGGTATGATGCGGTTTTTCGAGTGTCCATGCATCATTTAGATTTTTTTTAAATAATTTAAATTATACTCGCTGTAAATCATCAGGCATTTCTCATGTAATGTTCCACCAATCTAGCATTGTTCATATTAATAGTGTTTAGAATCTTGTCGAAATAGGAGGCAATGAAAAATCCCGAATTCTGGTGATAAGAATAGAACTGATTACAAAGAATTTAAACAAAAACAAGATGCAAATTCTTAAAATTTATATTTATAGCATTAAATTTTCATTAATTATATAATTTTCTTAAACATTTACGAGCAGGTAGAAATCAAGAGAAAAACCGTCATAGCTCACTTATTAGCATGCGTTACAATCAGGCATTTTGTTATAATTTCATGTTTCCTTCTTTTTCAGGGCCAGTCTACAATTTTATCTTTTGTTAAAGATACAGTAAAAATATTTATATATTTAAAAACTGCTGAAAATGTCAACACAGTATGGTTTCTAACTTATAAACACTATTCGATAATTATTACGAATTTAAATAGTTTCGAGTTTTCAAAATTTCAGAACAATTGAATAATTTATTGCAGAGTTACAGTAATAAGTTCAATAAGGTGTTGACCCGCCTCTAGCCTAGATACAAGCTGCCACATGGCGAGGCATAGACCGATAAAGCTCCCGGATGGTCTCTTGCGGTATTTACTGCCAAATTCGATCGAATTGTCGAACGAGGTCATCAACATTCCGTGCCAGATGCAATCGCCTTCCCATCATATCCCAGACATGCTCGATGGAAGAGAAATCTGGTGATCTGGCAGGCCAAGGAAGAGTTTGACAAGCTTGCAGACAGTCCATAGCAACACGTGCCATATGTGGTCTGGCACTGTCCTGCTGAAAAACCAGCCCAGGACGCTGCAAAAGGAACGGTAGCAAAACAGGTCTTAAGATGTCGTCGACGTACCGCTGTGCAGTCAGTGTACCTCTAATGACGACCAAAGGGGTCCGGCGGTCAAAGGAAATGGCACCAAAGACCATAATGCCTTGTTGAGGGCCGGTGTGGCGTGCAATAGTGAAGGAAGGATCCCCCCTCTGTCCTGTGTGTCTCCAAACACGTCTTCGATAATCGTCAGGACACATTTGGAAGCGGTATTCGTCGCTAAAGACTATACGTCCCCAGTCGGCATCATTCCAGCCATATCTGTTCAAAACATTCATGCATACGAAATTTCAAAGCAATCGGATGATTGCTTCTTAGTGCGTCGATTTTTTTGTTATAGAGTGTATTATAGAAATTTGTTCTATATGACAATTAATCGTAAGGATCAAATGCTCCTTTTTCTAACGTTTTGCAACCGTTTGTTGCTTTTTCTTTGGACTTTGGATATCAAAACTACTGGATGTTTAATATTTTTTTACACATTTTTTCCTTTAAATAGTCATTATTTATCCATTGTAATAGAAAAATTCATGTCTCTACCCGTTTTCATTTTATAAATTCTCGTTTCACTTGACGTCAAAAATAGCAACAACAAAAACTAAGTACAAAAAATAATAGAAAGATTAAATGTTGCTGACACAAATCTTTATATTTATATCGAAATTGTTTTAAAATAGAAAGACGGAAAAGAGATATTAAAAAAAAACTTTTCCAATGCGTACTGTTATAAAATTATCGTTATATGTATATTATTAACGAGTAAAATTATTTCTTATTTATCGCTTCCTATTCTGCCACATATTCTATATTCCTAAGTTTTCAGTTACATTTGATTATTTTTCATATCCAGCTATTCTTTCATTTCGTTACGATTAACACATTAATAAAATGCGCTTCCATCAATTTATAATAATTACATATTTTTTAAACAAGATAATCTTTTTTTGCACAGACTTTTAAAACAAAACTTTTTAGAAGATCAAAGTGGAAAAATGGTTTATGTCTATGAAAGCTGATTCTGAAAAAGAAAAGAAAAATTAATTTGCACACGGACAGGAACTGTTTTTTTACAGCACTCCCCTTTTTCAATGTGTAAGATAGATTCACACTGGATTCTTGAAAGAATTCTAAAAATGCTACCGATGGTAATCCAATCGTAATTTTTGCAAAAAAAATGGACATGAACCGTTCTTCTGCTATGATCTTATTTATGAATGAGAATCAATCACCCAAGGTTGAAGAGCGAGGCTAACAAGGGGGGGGGGATAAAAAATATTATAATAAGCATCTAATTCTACTTTTTATAAAATCAAAAATAAAGTAATAAAATCTAAAGAAATGATCCATTTGAAGAATTTAAAAGATATTTTTTCTTATAAAAATAGAATTTAATTATTAGCTTACTAATTAAATATTGAATAAAGTGTTAATTTATTGCATTAGATACTTACTTATCAGTTACTAACTGGATAAAGTTTTTGAAATTTACTTATTATATGAAAATTTGTTAATTTCAAATTATACAAGGTATGAATTATTTACTGGATACTAAGTTTTTAATTAATTGCTTAGTAAGATACTTACCTATTAATTATTTACAAGATGAGGCACTTTTTTAAATAACTCGATAGATAAGGTACTTTTATCTTAATTACCTACTAAATAAGGTATTTATTCATAACTTACTGGAAGAAGAACTAAATTATTAATTAATTACTAGTTACTAAATTATTAATTAATTATTTGATATGGTATTTATCTGTTACTTTTTACATAAAATTATTTTCTTATTAATTACTTACTGGATATGATACTTAATAATTAATTATTACATTTCTTACTAAAAAAAAAAACTCTCTTTCAATTTCATAAAAGATTTATAGTTTGAAATAACTTTAAAAACTGGTAGTATTTTCTCTCACGATAAATTCTTCTATCCACAGATAATCCTTTACAGTGTGATGCTTCATTGAAATGGATGCTGAGTTCCGTTAGCAAACCTGTTTTATTTTATGGAGAATGTGAAACTCCAGAAAAGAATAAAGGAAAATCAATAAAGCGTTTAAGGAAAGAAGACTTGAACTAGTTCCTCTATTTGGAAACTGCATATATAAATAAATATTATTTAGATTTGAGTTGCTTCTCTACTTTAATTACATTCTTACACCAGATGCCCACTAAAACTCAACTCCTCTCTCTCTCTAGATTTCCTAACACAGCTATAGACAGAAAAGTGGTACCTATGCATTATAAATTGGTAAGACGTTGCTCTGTGAGGTTGCTTACAGCACCTTTACTTAGTGGAAAATGACGAAGCTATAATTCCTATCCCAAAACAATTTAAGATAAGGGATAAAGTGTACGCAAACTTGCCGAATAGTATTGGTTTGAGTCGTGGTGGCAATCCCCTGTGGTAGACGGACGGATCATGGGTTAGAGCCCTCTTGCTGTTGGACTAACCGTGGAAGGTTTTCGTGGTTTTCCTGCCTACGTAATGCAAATGCGGGTTACTTGAATCAAGGTTAATTTGTCCCAATGCTCAATCAAGGAGTTGCTTTGCCTTCTGGGTTGTTATCAAAGTTACAAGTCTATGGAATTGAATAATGGTAGTCGTAAACACAGAATTGGGTCGGCAGTTCTTCGCCGGTTATAAAATAAAATAAAAATCGTATAGGCTTAGGACGAAGAGATAGATACGTTAACATTATAAGGCTTAAAACAGTGAGTTTAAAAGACACTTTTATTTGTTCACGGTTTACATGAGAAACGTCAAAAAACTTGAACGGAAGAAGAAAAAAATTATTTTTCAGATTGGATTTGATTAAATAAATGTATGTTGCATGGTAGCTAGTAAAGTACGTTTTTTTTCTTCTCATATTGTTTTATAGTGTCACAGTATAGGAAACCATGAACAAATAAAAAGGCGATTTTTCAGTTTTTTGGCCATAGCATTAATTTTCACAAGTAATCTTATGGTATTAATTCGGTAATGCTAGAGAACTGCCAATTTTGAGAAAGAAACAAAAACTCTGAAGTTTTCTGATAGGTGACATTATTAGCTGTCTGTAATGTATAACCACTTTAATGATAGAATAATAAAAACATAATAATAGAAAATCCAAAAGGCATTAATAAGAAATTTTAATAAAAATACTACAGCCATCAAACCTCTAACATAAGCTTGTTTTCTCAAAGTGATTGTGATGTAGTTATTTTTATAATGCAGAAGTGTTTTCAATATTTTTCAAAACCTACTAATCTAATTTGCGTTTTCCTTGTTAACTCTTCTAATTATTCCAAAATATTTTCATGCAATGTTATCTGATCCTTATATTGACAGGGGAACTCATCTAATGTAAGAAAATTTTAGAGACTCGACTAATAAAACGTTTTCTTTCTACAAATCTTCTGATCTATCAAAAAATGCTGATTTTTGAAACTTTTAAAGGGTTTATAAATTAATAATATAATATATAAAAAAAATTAAATGCTCGTATAATGGAAATACATATTACACTTTTTCCCAGTTAAAAAAACATTTGAGCGACGAAAAAAAATCAATTTTTAAAATTTCGAGAAAGCTTGTAAATTTGATTAAAAATGTGATGAAAACATTAAAATTTTATTACCTCTACAAAAAAGAACGATTTTAGAAACTTCTCAAAAACTCTAAAGTGTAATCGAAAATAACGTTACCTCATTTGCAAAGAAGTCTTCTAAGAAGTCTTTGAAAGAAGTTTTATTGAAGAATAAAATTTTGCTCAGTTTTAGAAATTAGAAATTTTTTGATATTTTAGTTTAGATATTTATTAGATTCCTCCTCTATCAAGTTCATTCGGTTGTAAATAATTCAGCATTATTCAAAATTATTGCCAGTCTTTTTATTGTAACTTAACCCTATTGAAAGGTATCCTAAAATTCATGCAATCTTAAATTTTGCGTCATTGGTACAGTATAATGTCGCCAACAAAAATAAAAGAAAACCCTACAGCTAAGGTTTCTTAAAAATTGAACATTATTCAAAAGAACAATGCGATTTTGTCGTTAAGTAGTGTTTTAAGCAATCCCTGGTCGCGTAATTTTCCTTTTTGTGGTAAGAATTGGTCGACTAGATCTTATGATTTAATACCATCAAAAGAGGAACTTCAAACTTGTTACAAATTCTCACAGGTGATTCTGATGCCAAGCTAAAATATAAACTCTAATTTATTCGAAGTATGAAAGGAAAACGAGAGGTACGAGAAAGCTTCGAGCAAAGGTAGCCATTTTGTGGCAATTCAACTTGTAATATTACAAATCCCGTTATATCATTGCTGTTTTCTTTATTAAATCGTCAAATTGTTTATAATCTTAAACCTCTCAAATCCTTTAGATTTGTACCTTATTATTGCGAAAACTCAATCCACTAAACCGTATTAACAATGCTATGATAATATCTTTATATAACTTATTTTTTTATTTATTTAATTTATTTCCCTTAATTTATTTAATTTAATTCATATTATTTCATTATTTTATTTTATTTCAAATTTTTTTTTGTTTATCTTAATGTATTTATTTAATTTCAAATTTTTTATTTTATTTTTTTTTATTCATTTAATTTTATTTTATTTATATATTTATTTTTTTATTTATTTCAATTCTAGCTAAGGTTTATGCCAACAAGCCCACAACCACCGACACCGTTAAGTAATATTGAGTACCGTTTCAACAAATTTAACCAAATTTAGGCAAAACAGTCAATCTGCAGTCTGAAAATTTCAACAAACGAGTGTGCAAAAACCAGCCAAAAAATAGAGGCCACTTACTCAATTGTTTACTTTGTGAATCAATGAGAAAATCCCAATGGCATACTCTCAACTCGAGAAGAAGGAGACCGCTGATACACAACCACCCGATCTTTTATCTCAGCACCAACTGGTCGTTTATAAACAAGATGGCATGTCAATGTTGCAACTGTTATGCTTTTATTGACGGCTTCTTTTTATTAATATAGGAAAATTAATTTATAGCTCATTTCTTTTGTTTTGCTGAGTATTAATTATGTATTTCAATATCTTACAATAGTTCATTAATTAGGACGAGATTATCGCACGATACGATTATCGATTACGAAATCGTATATCGAATGCATATTTCACGGGCTAGGCTTACTCGAAATAGAATGGAAATAACAGTTGCTGGTAGTAAAAATGCCACATTTTTACAACCAATCAGGATCAATCCCCAAGATGACATCGATTGCAGGTGCCCATTGTTATTAATTAAAAACCTCTGATATCTATTGCAGGTATCATTTACTTCGGGTATTTTGAGGCCCCCTGAATTTTAACATTTAATATATATATATATATTTTTTTCTGAGAGATAGTGTCGCTCTGTTGCCCAGGCTGGAGNATATATATATATATTTAATAGTTATAAATGAAAGGATTTTGTCTGTAATGATTCCCACGAAAACTTTCATTAGATAACGTTCAAAATCAATGTAAGCATTTCTAATCTTGAAAGAAATTTCCCACCTGGACTATGATGTCTGCAAGAACTGAATTTATTAATTTTTATGTTATTTTGAGCTCCATCTGTCGATACGTTAATTAGTTGCTCAAGTAAGTTAAAATAGTTTTGTAACTAAAATTCGATCAGTTTCAATTGCTTTAGTTTTTCAATTTTTATATCATGCTTTTTGAAAAAACATATATATTCATTTTATTCGAAAATTTGCAATACTTGCAGTTTTCTTAAACTCATAACTGATAAAAATCATTATCATTCATTAAGTTTACGTTACTCTGCTCTTTATCTATTGATATGTTAATTACTAGCTTAAGTAAATTAACATATATTTTTAATTAATACAATTTCAATTTCCATTTTATTAAGTTTCAATTTTTATTTCATTATTTTCCAATAAAAAATTTCATTCTAAATATTAAATCTCTCATTGGAAAATTTGCAGTACTTGAAATTTTATTCTTAAATACATAACTGATAATGATCATTATTTTTGTTATTCTGAGCTTCATCAATTAATACGTTAATTATACTTGCTTAAGTGGTTAAGAAGTTTTCTTTCTTTTATTAACTAATAGTGCTTGATTTGTCTGAATTTTATTACTTCTCAATTTTGTGTCATTATTTTTCAAAAAACTTTTTTTTCAGAAGAAAAAATTTTTTATTGGAGAAATCGTAAAGCTTAAATGCAAGGCTAATAATGTTCCTTTTTATTTATAAATGTGTATGTTATTCTATGCTTTATTAATTGATACATTAATTATTGGCTCAAATAAAGTAAAACTTTTATTGGGAACTTGCTGCTTATAGTTAAGCACTTATAAGCATAACTAATGATAATCACCATAATTCTCTAACGTTTAAACTATTCTCCACTTTATTGTGATTTTCAAAAAAAAAAGTTTTGTTCTAAAGAGTCAATTGTTAAAAGCATAGCTGAAATAATAATTTTATGATTGATAAATTTTTAAATTATTGTGACTGATGTTTTTGTTCCACATAAATTAAACTACCTGTGTATCATATATCATGTTAAATTTATATATTGTGTCATTCATTTTTTTTTTTCTTCTTCGTATTTTTATTACATTGCTTCTAACGTTCAGAAAAAAAGTGCGTTTCCCAATCATATAATACGGAAACAAAATTCTAAATAGTTTAAAACGCAAATATGTCGCATCAGGAAACAAAGTAATTTTCAGAAGTTAAACTAAGCTATTAAAATTTTCCGCGTTTGCAAATTTTTACATAAATTATTAATTTTTTAAACATAAGTTATAATTGTAAACTATAATTTCGTTTAAGATATTATTTATATAAAATATCTTTATTAAAAAGAATTATGTTTGGTATATATTTCGTATTTAATTTATATTGCTAACAGAAATTTCAATTATTTCAATTCTTTATTGACATAAGAGAACCTTTATTCTGAAATAAGTACTGAACTATTCTTGAACAAAGATTTATGTCATTTCTTAGTGCTGCCATCTATAGTTTTATTTTACAACAACTGTTTTGTGTTTAATTTGTTATTTAAAAACTATCTCCTTTTAACAAAACTTTAATATTGATTACATTTCTGTTCATTTTTTTTAATTGCTTCTTTAAATTTAAAATATATTCATTCAATTTATGAATCGAAAATTTAGTTAAATTAAAGCTAATTTACTTTATTTTTCTTTATTGAAAATTGAAATTTTCTAACCAAAAATAAAACTAATTACAACTGGTAAAGGCTGTTCAATTCTAAATAGAAAACTGATACGTATTTATGAACAAAATCTGAAATTAGAAAAATTATAAATGAATGATTTTAATGAATGTCTACAAATTATCACTATTTAAATATTTAAACTAACTAATTACTATATAGCTGACTCTTGATCTTCGCTAAGAAGTAAAGTGATTTTGAATATTTAATAGCTTTCAATGATTAAAAGAAAAAAGAAAGAAAGACAGAAAAAATAAAAAGCGTATCAGTTATTTTGCCTATATCGCCCTAACCTAAATGTTATGCATAATCATGCATTAATTTAAGATCACTGAACATGATTATCCTTCCATTTGAAAATTATTTATGTCTGAAAGTGTGCTGGGGGTGTGATGAAAGCGAACTAACTCAGTGAAAAGATGAGAAAGAAGTAAAGAGCTCTTAGTTGAAATACGAAATCTTTAAAAGTTGTCGACCAATCACATGCACCGAAGAATTTTCGGTATCCAATCTCGTTTGCACAGTCGAAATAATGTTAATACTGAATGCTAACTAAGGTCCTGAATGGACGTTCTGAATATCTACTCAGACTGTTCAGAACCGTTGGAAAATAAATTATAATGATTTTAGAATAAATTATAATAATCGAAGTAACTCAGAAGGAGGAAAATGAAGAAAATAATTTGTAGGTGTCTATATATTTGCTAACAAAAGGTCAATTAAAATATTGATTTAAATTCGAAGAAAAATAAGTATTCAATCTTGCATGTGGAATAATAAGGATAAAGTAGAGTAAGACCGTGTAAATTCGAAGGCCTGTTGGAGGGAAACTGCTTGACGTAGAAACTGTAAAACTTAATCAAGATACTCATTTTATAGTTGTGTGCAATAAATATATAATTTTTGAAAAGTCATCGATGTACTACTTTTTTTCATAAATAATTTTTTATAGAAAAAGACAAATTACTCTGTCTTACCCCACTCGGAAATACATGTTAACTCTATAGGAAGTTTAGATACTGGAATTTCAATGACAAAGTAGGAGATATTTCGTTTTTATATGACAATTTAAGAAAATTATACTTGTGATTTTGAGATGTAGTCAAGGCAGAGCTTAAGGGGGGAAGGAGGAATTATCCCACAAGCCCTAGATTGCTGAGGGCCCGACCGACATTTTTAACACAAAATATTGTGCTTATTAATTAGTGTTTTTAAAAGAAAATTTGCTAAGAATTTATCTATATCAATAAATAAAACTACAATTCCGCATAAAGAGTCTCCAAAAATTCTGAAAAATATAAGAACAAGGCTTTTTGTGACTTGACAGAGGGGCTCGAAATAAATTATTTTGTTCTCCCACCCGTAAATCCCTTGTTCAGCCTTAGATGCAGTTATTTTCTTCCACCGCTGCACTGCATCTTTCGTGAATCCAGTATAAACTTTAATCAAGGCGGTAGGTGCAAAACAGAGTTGAACCCGGTTTTACCCCAAGAACAGAGGATATCATAACGTAACAGTTGGACTATATCCTTTTTGTGGCCGCGATAGCCTAATTGGTAGGGCGTTGGGCCCATGTCCAAGAAGTTTTGAGTTCAACCCCGGCTGGCTGAAGACTTCTCATGTAGTAAATGGGGACTGGTGCACGTTAAACCTACCGGGGGACAAAGTCCTCCAAGTTTCCATAACAAATCACATCTGGGGTGCTGAATGGTAGATTAATCATTCTCTGGCTCAGGTCAAAATTACAATCTGTGGATAAATAAATGGATGTATGAGTGGATCCTTCCTTTAAAACTGGTTGTGACTTGTGTATGTGGTAGAAGTCATATTCTTGTTCATAGATGACGCCACTGAAAAACAAGGACCCACCCTCTGCTTTAAACTTTCTAGATTTGATCAAGTAGGCCTGCTGGTTTGGCAAGCGGCTTTCGAAACAACAACATATCCTCATTGTTCTTTAAGTCATGAATCTTTAGTAAACATATAGCAAATAAGCTTAACTGAAAACAATTTTGGTAACTGTAGTGACTTACAAATATGTCTAATTAAAATACAGAAGAGCTATAAAAAGTTAAAATAGTAAAAGAAACTTATCTACACAAAAGTCGTGAATTAATCAGCATCATCACGCAAATATGGTACGACCAGTAAAGTGAATACTAAAGTGACTCCTTTCTTAACTAGTAAAGTGTAATTCAGAGCATCTCTGCTAGAAACCAGAACTAACTTTGATACAATCGAGGTATCCGGTTGTTTAAAATAAACAGTAATTATTTCGCGAGTCTGTAAAAAACCGACAGGATTCCAACTCCGTAGCTTTGTACTTTTGAACCCAATCCAGAAGACAAGGGAACTAAAGGATCAAGTATTGGGAGAAACTTGCCTTCGTAGAGGATTTTTGATGGAACTAACCTGCATTTGCGTTACATGGAGAAGAAGACCACGAAAACCTCCTACGGTTATCTTGAGAGCAAGAGGACTCTAACCCATGATCCGTCTACCATTGAGGATATTTTACGTCAGCACTGTGATCGGTGCGAGCCGGGTGCGGAATTCGTATCTATCAGCCATCGATGAGACTTAAAACCGGCTAGCCTTATTGGGAAGCGAACGCTATATCCCTTGGCCCACCCATGGGCTCACCACGGTTCTTAAATCAATGTTAAAGAATTATAATCACTCTAATTAAAAGCATGAAATAATCATAATTCATACTTTGCCGGCTTGTAATTTGGATTTTCATACATCGCCTATGCCCAAGCAATGTAATGAATGTTTAATCATGGTTCACACTTTTTTCGTCGATTTTGGGAATTGCACACAGTGGATTTTCTATTTTGCCGATAATATGTCAATAAACAGAAAGCATAGACTAGTCTTTAAAAATATATTTAAAAAAAAAAAAACAATTGACGATTGCACATGGATATAAAAAAAATGCTTCTTCACTTACTTGTCAATGCGTAGTTCTAGCACAACAAACCATCGATTGTTTAACTAATTTCATTCTTCATCACAGTTTTTAATTTTATGTTGGTCGTCATTTAGATGCATATTGTATATTTCGCTTCAACTTGGTACTATTGTAGAAACTATAAAATGTGTAATCTTATATTGTTAAATGTGAAACTAAAGTTTATAACAGCTGTTTGATGTAATATTTACTTCAGCAGAAAATTATTGGCAAAATTTCGAAATCGTGATTTTTTTTTTAATAATTATATTTTTTAGTGAACTATTTAAATAATTTGCATTTAACAATTTCTTTTTTCTTAAATTTCTCCATACGCCTCTGTTTACTTACCCTTTAACCATTTTTCAGTTTTTCGACATAATTGAAGCTCGATAAATTAAGGGTGAAAAGATGTTCCCAATGAACGATGAATGTGAATTCGTTATTATGAAGACTGTAAATATCATAATATTGACATGAATAAAAATTGATAATAAATGATATAATATTGAAATAAAGAAATTAAAACTGAAATGGACAAAAAGGTTTTTTTCTTTTAAGACTACAATTTTTAAAGTTTTTAAATACATATTTTGATGCTTCTTTATAAAATTGTTCTTGAGGTAAACTAACACTTTTTCTTTCTACAGGGATGCTATTAGGGATAAATTCTTGCCTGTTGATACTAGCAGCCGTGGCATGGCAAGCTACAGCTATACAAGAAGATTGTCCTCACCCAGAAGACAGCTACCCCTGCTATTGTGAGGACGATGAAGAAAGGAGCGTAATGCATTGCAACAATCTTGAAAAGAATGAGCAACTAGTGCAGGCCTTACAGAAACTAACAGATTTCCATTTGTACACTTTGTCCGTATGGATGTTTGACACGGCAACCATAAAATCAGACGCATTCAAGGGACCGACATTCAAAGAAATTACATTCACCCATTCGCAGCTGATTTTGGAATCACCTCCATTTTTGGGCCAAGAGAAATCTTTGGGAAGACTCACTTTCATTTCTAGTTTCGACGAAGAAGATCCTCTAAAACCACTGTCCATGGGACACCTCACAAAACTGAAAGAAATAACTTTCGAAAAAAATGAGATCAAAGTCTTGAAGAACGATTGGCTGACTTCTGTTGGTCCCAGTTTTAGATCGATAACATTTGATGAATGCAAAATTGAGGAACTTGAAGACGGCGTGTTTTCCAAACTGTCAAGTCTTACAACCATCTTCGTGATGAATAATAAAATATCTACGGTCTCTCGATCTATGTTCCCAAAAGATGCTTCAAGCTTACGATCCATTACACTAAGGTAAATATTTTTGTTGAAGTATTACATAACCCTTCATTTAATAATTTAGAAAGTCAAAAACAACAATTCTAGCAGAAGACGAAGAAAATTTTAAGATATGTGTGTTAGCTTATGCGTCTAATTCCTTTTTCTTATTTGCTTATCCATTATGGGGCCTCGGGGCACAGTCAGTTTTTGTCATTACCACTGACGACGGAAAGGTTCCTGTGTGTTGGCAGGCAGTGTGTCCCCTGATGAAGTGCTGTTTTGCTAAGACACATGCATCTTAAAATATTCTTCATTTTCTGCTAGAATTGTGTTTCTGACTTTCTAAATTATTAAAATAAGACAAATTTGGTTTTTGCTGCTTTTAGCGCTTTTAAATTTTGACTTATTATTTTGAATGTTATTTACTTATTTTGTCTTTTTCTGAATTTGTGTAAATCAGTTTCATTCCTTGATTAGATAACCTTTCATTCATTTGCTTTAAACACTAACAAAGCAAATCTTTCTTTTTTTTTTTTTTGTTCGTCTCGTGTCATTTTTTCTTTTGTTTCGGGATCATTTAAAATTTCCGTCTCACTGAACTAATTAAATAATTTTCTAAAAGAATGAAATTAAAGTGTTGAAGATTGGTTGACTCAGTTCAGTCTGTCTCAGTTCGCGATCTGTAACATTTGATTAATTCAATAATGAGGAACTTGAAGACAGCGTATTATCCAAACTATCAAATTTTACCATTTTCTTTTCCATCCACACCAATTCATGATGAAAATTCGAATACCTTCTGTTTCTCGATCAATATGCTTCCCGAAAGTTCCGAAAGGCAAGTGTTCTTGATGATATGATATTTTACGATAGTTTGTGCGTTAGGTTATGTCTCAAAATATTTTGCCTACGTAGGAAAATGTCCAGAATTATTTTGTTTAGATTACCTTCCACATTTCCATTATTTTCCACTTACTTTCTAAAATCATAACAAAATTTTTCTTTTTTTTCTCTCCCGAAAATGACGATTTATACTGAAAAAAATGCTTTAGCCTGTACGAGTGCATGCGATATTTTTCGATAATTCTAATGGATTTTGCGGATTATCCGCAATTATTTCAAGAGTTATTTTTTCGGGTAATCAAGAGTTTACCAGGACTACAGAGTTTATTTAAGTTTTTAATGTTAAATTATTTAAGCCGGTACATAAATGTAAATTCGTGAAATGAAAAAAAATATTAAAAATAATCCCTCAGGAAAAAATAGTTAAAGAAAAATTTTTTTAATTCTTCTTTTACCATATTCAATCAAAATAGTCAAATAACCATAAATAAAATGTTGTTCAAACTGTTAGCTGTGAAAAAAACCGTTTATTAACCGTTTTTACCTAATACGGCTAAAAAACCAGAATTTTATCGCACCACTTAGTTCTTTGCGGCTGAGTACATATTATAGCCGATAAGGCAAATCTTCAACTCTCATGACCAACAGAATGGGCATCCCAGCTCTGAAACCATAATATTTCCTTCATTCCCTGCAATACATGAAGATACATTCCGGTGTCCTACTCTCCCCAATTTGCGAACCTGGACTATTAAAATACGATACTCTCATCATTCACGCATAAATGGCTGTACCATGGCGCTGCTTATCACGATAAAGTCTAGTAGTCCCTCTCTTACTTAAGTAAAACAACCAGATAAACTAATTCAACTAAATTCCACGGTTAATTTGGTAAAACACAACTCAACCACAACCTAACTCCAATGTCCGTTCTAACGACAAACCTAGCTCCATATCCAGTTAAGTTTTCTTACAGTTTTGAAAACATGCTAGATATAAATGGTTAGCAAACCGTATAATTTTGCATTCATGGTTCTTTACCATGCTAATTGTAAACGTTTTCGAAACTATAAAGGTAAAAACTTCTCTTTACCTACTTTGCAGTTAATTGAACAGACAGATTGCTGCTGGTTATTTTACCGTAATTTCTGAAGAAAAATTCTAGCAGTGCTGCAGTAGTTAGCAATACTGCTGTTAAAAAGTAGACCTTGACTTCTTTATATAGTGTTATATTGAAAATGTATTATTTTGAATTTTTAGTGGCAATAAGATTACATCATTACCAACTGATTTTTTCAAGAATATGCCATCCCTTATGTCAGTAGACTTGGAAAGAAACCAACTGACAGCTATACCAGAATCTACATGGTTGCCTGTGTTTGAACAAATTTCAAGGTTATACTTGGCAGGTATTTACTTTCATTTGACTAAATCATTGGTCTATCAAATTAAAGAAAATAACATAACTGTTTTAAATAAATACATATTTATTCATTTAATCGACATTACAAGTGAGCAAACAATTGCATGCTCTTAAAGATCATTTCTGAAATTTAAAGTTAGTTATAATCTACTACAAATAGTTTTCATATATATATATGTGTGTGTGTGTCGAATAAAGGGGGTGAAGAGAGGGCTTTAAATAAATGGAGATACGCTAAACTTAACAAAATATATTACCAAAAAAAAGATACATATTCTGCTGACGTTCTACTCGACATTCCAACTGATTCCATCTACATGGTGTACAAGTAAGAGTAATGTAAGTGTAGTGTCCTTGATATTACGTGATTTAGATGGTTGCTTCGTGGATCTGTATTCCACACATATTAAGTGTTTCCTAATTCAAACACACTCACAACAGTTAGAATCTTTATTAAATGATGTTAAGCACTGCTACTTACAAAAATATTAGTAAAATCTCATTCGTGTAAAGCTCAAAAAATTTGTATATGCAACAGTGGATTTTAATGGAGAGCATATAAAACAATACAGTCATTTTCGAACCTTTATAAGGAACTGCTGTTAAAAAAAAGTAATAATTCTAACGAAGCAACTTTTATCTAAAATGAAGTTGATTTTTCTTTTTTATGGTTCTCATATGCCATTAGGAGAGTTCACGTAATATTCATATTTTCCTATGCAAAAAGAAAACGTTAAATTTTTGATTCTTAAACTGATAATATTTAAGAATCAAAATGGAATAATTTACTATAAAGAATTATTTGCACTTAAAAACCAATTGATTTTTACGTGCCGTTTTAAGTTTTAAAAAAACTGTAGTTGCGATAGAATTGAATTCAAAATTATATTATAGCCATTAAATATCAATTTTTCCATTCGATCAATTAATTTTTAATCGATGAAATTTAATTAAATGTAAAGGCACGATTTGTGTATGCAACAGTGAATTTTAATGGAAAGCGTATAAAACAATACAAACAGTCATTTTCAAACCTTTATAAGGAACTACTGTTAAAAAAAAGTAATAATTCAAACGAAGCAACTTTTATCTAAAATGAAGTTGATTTTTCTTTTTTATGGTTCTCACATGCCATTAGGAGAGTTCACGTAATAATCATATTTTCCTATCCAAAAAGAAAACGTTAAATCTTTGATTCTTAAACTGATAATATTTAAGAATCAAAAGAGAATAATTTAATATAAAGAATTATTTGCACTTAAAAACCAATTGGTTTTTAAGTGCCGTTTTAAGTTTAAAAAAACTGTAGTTGCAATAGAATTAAGTTCGAAATTATATTATAGCCATTAAATATTAATTTTTCCATCCGATCAATTAATTTTTTATCGATGAAATTTAATTAAAATGTAAAGGCACGATTAAGTTCCATATAAAAATCGTCGAAAACGAATAGGTTGAAAAATATTGCTTCTGAATTCGCAGTTTAAGCCAAATAAAAAGTTTACAAAAAAAAATACTAGATAAATGCCTATTTAAATATTTTAGCATGTGAGCATAATCAACACCTCCAAATGCAAAAGTAAGTACTGTCCAGCAACCACGAGATAAGCTATCACTGAGATTGCTTTCAGTTAGGTTGCTAGTTAGTAGCGATTATCACCATTCAAAATGAAAAATCAAATAATTGGTACAGGGTTTCCAAAACATGACCGGGGATTTGAAAATCATTTAGAGACAAACGGAAGGAGGGTTAAATGTACGTTTTCTGTTTTCAAATTTCGTCAGCAGATCACGTAGCCGAATTGTAAAACTATAAAACTATGTTCTCTGTTGCATATCAGACAAATTTATTAACTTTTATGGAATATTTTTCTAAGAAGAATGGAGCATTTTTTCCTCTTTTCGTTCTTCTAAAGGCTGATTTTCGAAAGCTCTGTCGTTGCATGAAATGAAGCTATTTTGCAAATAATATGCTTTTTTTGTAACTGCTGTAAAGTTTCAGCAGTTATTCGCGATTTTTCGGTCAAGTTTAGCCTATCGTTAGCTAGAGCCTTCTATGCATATTCTAAAAATGGTGCGATACGTCAATACGGAAAAAGGCACAGTTTTGAGAAAATGAAAAGCGTTTGGGGTGTAATATTTTAAGATTTTGAAGCTTACTCCAATGCTGCATTATCTGATGGGCATAAAAAATTTTACGAACAATGAGACTAAAATATTGATTTTAATAATTTTCCTCTAGAGGAAAAATCGTCACCAAAACGGCAATTTCAAAAAAAAAAAAAGTATAAAGCATTTAAACAGCTTTTTTTTCTTCCCCTGAACGAAAGAGAAACCATGTTTTTGACACTTGATTTTTGAGACATCTGGTATAAACCAGTGCTTTTTACATTTTCTTTTTTCTTCATTACTAGTTACATAAATTTTACACTAAGTTTCACTTTAAAATATATCTTGTTTTTCAGATAATCCCATAGCATGTGACAAATCTTTGAAATGGATCACTAAGAAAGCTCCACCGAAGCAGTTTACTGGCCGATGCAGCAAACCACAAAGTTTGAAAGGCCGAGAAATCCGTCTCTTGACCCCGGCAGAATTACGGTTTTAAGAAACATTTATCAAATTTTACAAGAAGATTAACATTAAACTTTGTAAATTAAGATGTGTGGTTGATTTTCTCTTACTTTTTAACCCACTTAATGCTAAGAAATTTTTTTTAACGAAGCTTATCTTATTAATTCTAATGTAGAAATTTTAGTTTTCTGTTTTTGAACGAATTTCTATGTTTTTATTACTTTTGGGAAATTAAAATAGGTTAGATTGAAACAAAATTATAGGCATCGTTTATTGTAAATTTTAACCTTATTATTGAATACAACAAAATATGTCCTAAAATGCCATTTTTTGAAGCCCTGTTTACGCGATTCAAATTCTTGGACCAAGATTGATAGAAAATGATGGAAACTTGTTTTACTTGGATAAACTTGCATATAATTTGCTGTCCGTTTTCATGTATTTTGACTAAATGAGTCAATTTTTTAGAATTTACTTGTATTACAATGATTTCACCTGAGTTTATTTTCTAATTTTGAATTCGTGTCAGTATGATTTTCTAATCTTGAGCATGAACAATGCGCATGCGCAAGTTTTCCATCCGACCAATCAGTGATATTCAAAAACCAGAATAATGCTAACGAATCATTGAATTTTTAAGACAGAGAAATTCTTTAAGTTCTCTGATTTAAGAACTTGACCGTGTAAACAGGCCTTAAGATAAAACACCGAAATATTTTTTTAATCAACATAACAAGCTTTAAAAAAAATTATAAGCGGGTTGTACTTTGAACAAGTATCTCTATCATACCTTAGACCGTTCAATTCCAACAAATCCAGTTAGCACAAATGTATTTCTCTGTGGAGTCAGCTATCCAGAATGCGTACAAAAATTTTATTTTCTGATTGATGCTATACAGGCAAAACTTTAGATTCATATTTTGGAGTATTTTAATAAAATGTTATTTCTTATTACGTTTATAGCGTGCAACCTATTTTTTTTCAAAGTGGTAGCAAAATTTATATTATAAATTATATATGGGTCATTCTCACGAAAACTGTCATTTTTCAGTTCATAAAATCCCAAAAAAGTAAAGTGAATAAAAAGCTCTNTTATTCTTTTGTTAGCTTGCATTCTGAAGGACACTTTCCCTGAATTTTTTTTTTTTTTTTCGTATGCTGTAAAACAAACATAAAATGTACTGGGGACATGAAAATGACTGTTTTTGTGAGAATGACCCATATCTTCTTATTAAAAATTTATCATCACATTTATTTTTTTTTTCTAATTTTTCCTTCCATTGAGACTAAAATTTTACATATAAAACAAGTTATGCAGACATGTGTTATGAAATATTCAGAACCTTAAATTGCAAATTAGAAGAGTTAACAATAAAATTAAAAATAAAAAATTAAAAAAAACTTTAAAAGTGCTCTAAAATAATTTTTACTTCATGGCAATTACTGATTATTACGAAATTGTAGAAAAATTTAAACAATCAATTCGGTAAAAAATTCAAATCGGTTTTTTTTATAATGATTTAACAATTGTATTAATATTTAATTTATTTAAGCTCTGTCACTGAAAGTAGTTAAACATTACTCAGATCTTGAAAAAGATATTCTTAGACCGCGAAAGAAAGTGAGATTTTATTCATTCTTTTCACTAAATTATCACTTTCTATGGATGATCTATTTTTCTTTTCTTTTTTTTCCCTTTTTTTTTCTTTTTTTTTTTTTGGTGTTCATTGAAACCAACTATTACAAAAGGGAGCAATCATTTATTTACAGTAACCATGAAAATTCGGTGGCGCTCCTCTATTCAGGGGGTCAGTGATTTCCACTTGTAGCCATCTGCTGGCAAAAGTGAGAATAGAAAAACGATTTCAGAGCAGAAAATTTTTACCTTGAAAAAATTTTTTTAACAATATTTCTCTAGCAACAATTTTACCAAAACCCCAGTCGGGCTCAAAATTGGCTCAATTTGGATCCTTTATGAGCATGCACCGAGTAGCCAATATTGGGATGTCTAGATTTTAAATAGTGGTCCTTTATAGGGCCAATATCAACCTACATTCGGACAATATTGAGCCTATGGTGGCTGAATAATGAATATAAAATATCGGGGGAATCTGACTGTTCTATATCAGGCCGATATTGGTTGTAAAGTATCTGCAAAATATCGGGTTAATTGGACAATTCTATATATAGCCAATGTTGGAAAATAACTACCCTTTAAAACCTTATTGAGCCAAGATTCGTGAATATTGGTCCAATGGGGAGCCAAGTTTTTTGTTTCTAGGGTTCCTTTTATATATTTCTATATTGATGACAATAGAAATCAATTACGTACTTTTTACGTATGTTTTTTTTCTTTTTTTTGCTTTTTTTTAAATTAAAAAAAGTCGTGTATGTAGCTTAAAAAATAACTTAAAAAATTGCTCTGAAAACACATTTAAAGTTGTTCTTAAAAGTTATTAATAGCATTTGAAAATAATTTGTTACGTCAGTTCTAATGAGATCTTATTCATTGATATAAAATATTAAGCTGTCAGGCTATTAAGAAAAAGTGACAAAACTTCTCCCATCGATCAACAATGAGACGTAGATTGAAGCTGGCAACGGGGCTAATGTCTTTAAATAGAAATCTGACACGTACGGCGTGAGAATTACTAAAATTGAAGTAGTTGGGGGGAAAAAATTCCAATTTCTTTGATGAGTGGTTTACATCCCCTTGAATATTTTTAGCGGATTTTTGGGAATCCTGACTTTATGATTAACTTGAATTATTATAGCTTACGATGATCACATGAAAAATAGGTTTTAATTGCACGAACATCCAAATTCAATAACAAACGAGTTTTTAAGAGAAATACACTCAAAATAAGTGTTTACCACTAAGTAACATCCAATGTACAACGGTACATTACTTTCGAATGATTTTTCTTATTCTAAAAAAGAAAAAATTCTTAGTGTTTGACGGTATTCATTCACTGAAATTATTATAATTATAGACAAACATCAAAGGTCTTTTTCCCAAACCCCTTTTGTGCTTTGTGCATAATTGGATTTTCATCTTTATTTCAATGTTTGAATTTCTGAAGCATTGCCTTTTCTTATTTAGTTTTTCCCTTATGGGGCTCCGGGGCACTGTCAGTTTTTGGTTTAACCACTGACTACAGTAAGGCTCCAGTGTGTCCTCTGATGAAGTGCTGTTTTTGCTAACATGCATATCTTTAAAATTTCGCTTTGCTTGTTTTTGGTTTCTCACTTTTTTACTTAAATTGTTTATATAAGAAAATTTTGGTTTTAGCTGCTTTTAGCGTCCATTTTGACTTATTATTTTAAAGTTTTAATGTTAAAATTTGTTTGAATACGTTTAAAACTTAGTTGTAACGTAATAATTCCAGCCTTCCTGACCAACTCTAATACACCTAGATTTTTTGAAATGTTCCCACCACCCAAAAAAATTATAACTTGTATTAATACGAGAAAGGATGGTCAAACTTGCATTTCATTAAATGAGTAATCAAAAGTGCTATTTGATTTCATGAACTTTAATTCTTTTTATTGCAAGCCAAACTGATGGAATAAATAAAACTAATATTAAAAGATATTGAATTTATATGGCAGATGAGGACCATAGGATAGACTCCTAAATCGTACCGGTATGGTTAAGGTAACCCACAAGAGGTACAAGTTAGAAATATACGTCACTTTTTAAAAAAAAAAATTAAAAAAAACGGTATTCCAAGCCTCAAACAAAAGTTAGCTACCAAAAAAAACAAGAGAACATAACAGAATGAGTTGTTCAACAAATGTCTGAAGCTTTAAATAATTTCCACACAATATCGTTACACATGATGTTCAAAAATTCCACCGAAAACTTCTGAAACCAATAAACTGTAATAAAAACTAGGCGTGTGCACAGCGACCTGATTCTTCAGCTTGTGAAAAAAAAGAAGCTTTCCGCTAGAGTATTCTGTCCTTAATAGTTCTTTAGAAATCAAAAGTAGTACAATTTATAGAAGTACGATTTAAACAACTTTCCTCTGCATATTTGAGAAAACTATAATTAATAACTTTAGACTTATTACAATTGAATACTAATAAATATAAAATCAAACATATTTACATTTATTTTAATACACTCTATACAAAAGAAAACATTTACATAATTATATGTACACAAATGAAACGTAATAAAATCTCACCGTAGTGAAAGGAATTTTAATTAAAATCAGTTAATGTAAGGTTAGTTAGAGTTGCTCCACGTAAATCGGGAGGAGCAGCACAATGACCTCTCAATGATTCGGGTAAACGATACTGGAAAATCCACTTCATATTCTGATTGCAATCTAATGGATTACCTAAGAAATAAATATTTATAAGCATTTGGGTCTAGCACTGAACATATTTTTAACTATAATTTTTATAACCGGTGTTAAACAACAGGCCCAATTTTTGAGTTTACGACTACCAATGTTCAACTCCGTATAGCCTTGTAATTTTGAACTCTAGAAAGCAAGGCAACTCATAACACTAACCCATGTTGTTGTTGTTGTAGTTAATTTCCGTCGCACTAGAGCTACTCAATGGGCTATTGGCGATGGTCTGGGAAACATCCCTGAGGATGATCCGATGACATGCCATCACAATTTTGATCCTCTGCAGAGGGGATGGCACCCCCGCTTAAGTTGCCCGATGACCTGCAAGCGAAGTCGAGCACTTTACGATAGAACAGTTTAACGAGGACCAATACCGCACACCCTCGGTCCCTACGCAGACTGATCCAAGTGGTCACCCACCCGCACACTGACCGCAGCCAGTGATGCTTGACTTCGGTGATCTGCTGGGAACCGTGTCTTAACGACCAATCCACTGCGGGACACACTAACCCATGATCCGTCTAACACTGAAGATGTTTTTCGTCAGCACTCTGGTCTGTGCGAGCAGGGTGCAGAATTCCTATCGACCAGCCATTGCTGGGATTCATATCCGGGTCATCTCATTTGGATGCAAGTGCTCTAGCCCTTGAGTCACCACAACATTCTTTGAACATAGTAAAAAAATTCGAGCTACTCTTATGAAATTAGATAAATACTCTTTTTACACAACAATATATGGCAGCAATAAGCAACTTATCTTGTCTAAAGTCGACGTTGTTGATACAGTATGTTACGGAGAATAATGAACGATCACCGCTGCCGCATGGCGATTAAATTTAACAAATGTTGATTAAAAAATAGTCTACTAGTCGCCACTCTCTCGAATCATCTTTGAAATGATATAAAAAATTGTATACCAATTTCGACAGTTATTATAGAATAAAATAATAAGAAATAATATATAATTACCAAATTTTATTTTTTCTGCATATCATTATCTTTGTTTAAGTGAATTTTATTATTCTGGGCAAAAGTTTTTCAATTCGCTTAAAAAGTTCTCGAGATATGGTGATAAATGCGTCAAAAGTAAAATTAATATTAAGGGGTCCAAATTTTGGACCGCTGTGTTAATCAAACTTTGGGGACTATATTTTCCAGTTAGTGACTATTCCCTATATTTTGGGGGTTCAGAAAATCGATTCCGTTAAAAAAAATGGTATGTTTATTCAGCAGAAGTACTTTTTTTTTGCCTGATTTCGTAACCAAAAATATCGTCTACATTTCCCAATTAGCATATTTATGGTCACCCCCTCGAATCGTTAAAAATTGAGTGCTAGTACATAAAAATCCGATCATCGGAATCAATAGTTATTCAGGGTAGTACTTTTTTTTCTTTTTTTGCGCACAATACACTGAATTTTGAAATACTTACCGTAGAAGAAGGCATGCCGCAATTGAGTCCAGACTGGAGCAAAAGAGATTTCATTGATGGTAATCAGATTATTATTATCGAAGAGTACCTCATTCAGAGAAGGCATTCTGGTGAACAAGTCAACAGGAGTTGAAGCAAGCTTGTTATTGCTACAAAATAAAAATAACAATATATATATATATATATATATAACTAAANTTCGAATAAATTATTTTTAATTTATTATTCTTAATTTTTTAACGTAATATAAAGTTTTAGTTCTAAAAGAAACTTTTATACTTAAATAAAATATGATGAGAGAAAAAGCAAAAGCATAGTTCCTGAAAGAGGTAATTTGTAAAGGTAAAAAATTGATACATACATACATATATATATATATATATATATTAGAAGTTTTTCACAATTTTTATTCAGTTATCAAAAAGCTTGAGATATTTAAGGAAAATAGGTAGGCGCCTCATAACTTTACTATCTAGCCAATTTCCAGGCATTCATCTAAAGAAGTTGATATAGTGCATCATTATTTAGCGGTGTTTGTCATGGTTTCAGCCTAGGTTCCTTAGTTGGGGTTCGAAACTAAACTCTAAAACCTTAGTGTATGGACGACAATACAGCTCTTTTAACCTACATTTTTGGTGCCACTATCTAACTCTCATATAATTTCTTTGGGGTGAATTAGAACGTAGATAACGTAACAAGCTAGATTGATTCTTTAGTTGTGAAATCCTATGGCCATTTATCAAAAACTGGAGGCAAGTCTCAATAGATGTATTCAGACTGTCCCTGGCACAAAGACTATCATCATATTGACTCATGTCTCAGGACATTCCGGATCCGTATTGTGAGATGTTCCGTTACTTTTGGCCAGATACTGAAAACAATTTACTTAAATTCAAGCTGAGATGACGTTGGCAAAATAAAAATTATTAAAAAAAAAGAACAATAAAAAAATCTAATTATTTTTTGGTACTAAAGCTTATAGTCCTTAAGGAACTTATCTTAATTTAGTTTAAGTTAAAGTCTAAATAAAAATTAACATAGTTCAACAGTTACAGTAGACTTTTCAAAATCAATGAACGAGGGTACCTCAAATTGTAATGTCTACTTTTTTGTTGAAGGCTTATAACGCTTACATAATTTTTATAGAACAAAATGGGTGAATCATATTAATTATCAGTGCTATCATCATGATTAGGGTTTACTCGCTAAAAGGATCCCTCTTGGGTCTATCTAGTGACTACCATAAAGACAGTTACGAAACGTCTCTGAATATTTTCCCAAAACAAGGTTATCAACATCATTTACTATAGTTCATTATCCAAAGCCATATTTAGCAGACCATAGCTCGAAATCGCAGTGGCAGAATCTCGCTGAAGAAAAAACTCGCGAAAACGAAATGTTACAGTGTCTACTGGTTTTCGCTATTCTGTTCACAGGGAATATTGTCCAAGCGGGATTTCGAGAGTTTCATTTTGCATTTGCTCTTCTTAGACTTGGCCAAACTGGGATTTGATACCCGAAAAATTCTTCCTAAGCAAGGACTATCCATCCAAGATTCTCTACCGTGATCTTCTACATCCGCAAAATTTTGCCCACGCAAGATTCTGTACCGTGATTTTTTTTTTAATCTGCAAGATTCTGTTCCATGAACTTCTACATCTATATTTAAATGCTACCTCTCCAGAATTCGGCCTAACCACGGAATGTAAAATGCTAAAATAAAACTCACCTTAAATCTATTGACTCGAGGAATGTAGCTGGTTCAGGGAAAACTTTTCGCGAAATCTGCGTAAAGGCTCCACCAGTTAGACTGATTTTTCGAAGATTCGGCAACGAAGAGAATGCATGACTTCCCAGGATTTTAGGATCTGTTTGCAGGAGGTACAGTTCTTTTACTCCATACGGTCCACTCTCGAACATATCGTTACCTATAGTTGGAATAATGTTGCCTTCAAGTTGAATAACAGTTAATTTTTTCAAGTGAGCAAACGACAATCTGGTGAGTGGATTACTGTCATCGATGAAACAATCTCTTATTTCAATTTTTTCAAGGGAGCTCTCAAGTCCTAAATAAGGGGGTCGATTAAGACTTTCACTGAGGCTAGTGAGAGTGGTAAACTTGATAGTCAAAATTTGTATTTCTACATCTTTGAAAATGTCAGCAGGAAGAGTGCCAATGTTCGATTTAGACAATTCCAAAGTGTCAATTTTTAAATTTTTCATTCCTTTTACGGCGCTGCGTAACTCGTCTAATGAGCTAAGTCCTTCGCAATAAATATATAGTCTGTTTCCAGAGTCTTGCATGCATGTGCATGGTTTAATGTCCTCATTGGATGGCGATGAGCAACGTCGATTCTGACCAACACAAATGGTAAAACATAGACATAATAACACAAGAACTCTCATCATCTGAAAAAAAAATTTCGTTAATTTTTATTAATTTACAAAGCAATTTATAAAATAGCATTGACATTATAAAATTTTTTGCAAAAATAGAAATATTGCAATGTAATCTGTACCATCTCATAAACTATATCTCTAGCTAAATTTGAAATTTTCATGACAATCTTTAAAAGTTGTTTGAAGAGCTTTTGGCAATATAGTGATATTCCATAATTCTTTTAAAGCATTTTCCTCTTAAACTGTTCCTTAGTATTGTTTCCAGATACGTATGCATCTGAGAATAATACTTTTTGGACAATTGTTTTTTTTTTTTTACAAACTTTTGTAATTATTAGAGGATAACACCATAATACACAGCAGCATCTAATTACCTACATGAAATAGGGTTTTCACCAAACACTATCATGCAAAAATCCCCCTTTGAACAATAAGAAAATATGGATAATCATTAAATTTCCCCCCAAATCTTCCAATTTCACATTGCTATAGCTTATCTATATAAGAAAGCAAGATTTTCTTGTTAATTCGACTACTTTAAATGTTAATTTTAATACCAGGGTTATTAGCATGATGACCATTCCTAAAGTATGAATTTTGTTGATACGTAATACAATTATTGGGATAAATACCGGTTATCCGATCATCTTTGACATGCAATGGTACCTAAAATAAATCAAATAACTATGTCAAGTTGCTTGTTAAATGTTACAGCAACATGTGAGGTTTTTATTCACATATAGTATTTTTCATCTATTGTTTACTTATTTTCATCTGTTTCATTTATTTTTACTTGTCACTGCATATCATTCTAGTTTTTTTTAAAGCAGTATCAGCATGTTTTTATTCATAATTACGCGCCTTTTATTTTAATATTCCAGTAGATGAAAACTAAACTTCATACATTGTTGTAATATGCACGCGAAACATAACTCAGCTATCTTATTTTTTTAATAATCCTAGGGTATCAAAGTTGGTCAAATGGTTCTCTAATATATCATGATGGGAGCTTATCAAAGTTTCTTAAAGCATATTCTTTTTACCAGCATGTAAGAGCACATTGACAAATATATTTTTATTGATAAAAACTTTTCTGTATAAAATTGTTTCTGTAAATTATCGTTAATCAACCTCTATAACATTAAATTCGATTCCATGATTCATATTGCTTTGATTGATAATTTTCTTTTCTAGTGACAGAGGGGATTGAAGCAGGATAAAAATAATACAACTCAAGAGAACAAGAAAATAAAACAGTCATTTCCTCTTTCGGCATCTTGCTTCCCAGTATCGGTCAGCGATAGTTGCTCCACGAAGAGCGCTGAAAAGGAGAACATGGCGGCTATTCTTTATAAATTGACTTCAACTTTTAGAGCAGTATAGATCAGAAGACAGCTTAAATAAGTATAAGTAATCGTCAAGACAGTCATTTTCTCTTAGAGACGGAACTGAGCCATGGCCTCGTAGCGCGGCCAATCGGGAATGCTTTTTGGCTCGAGATCATTCCACTTTTTGTTCGAATTTCTTTCCATTAGTTAATTGCTGAAATTAATGAAGACTTTTCTTTCGAGAACTCGTTTAAAGGATGAAAAAGACACCTGTTTTTTATTGATCTGCTGTATGGAGGTGCCCTTTTGGGACAAATCATCAGCCATTTCACTGCCTTTAATTCCACAATGAGGAGGAATCCATTGCAGAGCGGCAGATTTTCTCAGTTGTCGTGATTTATTAATCGAGATTAGAGATTTTACTGTAACACCAAAAGTGGGACTGTTCACAAATTTTATTGAGTAAATACTAACGAATCAGAAAGTATGACATCATTTGAATTTGTCAAGAAAGCATATCTATTTCTCGGCAGCACAGACTGCAGTAATTTCGCCGTCGTAGGCTGTTCCTTCTGTACCTAAAGGTATATAATGGGCGAAGAGATTGCAAAACACCCCAGAAACGACATTTTTTTAATCAGGGAAGTAGGATCTACCGATAATTGATAGTAATAATAAATATAGTAACAATATTGATAACAAAAATAGAATAATAATAATTGATAACAATAATAAAATGCTTTAAATGTGGTAAATTATTTGAAATTTTTATCTTTTAAGAATAAAACCTGATCTGCATTTTAAGTTTAAAAATAATCGTTAATAAAAAAAGGCAAAAATAGTTTTTTTTTTTTTTTTTTTTTTTAAAAAACATTTATTACNGTCATATTATTTATTTTTTAAAGGTACTGGATAAAAACATACATTAAACAATAAAAAGCAACTGAATCTTTTTATTACAATCTATTAGTCATTGAACTAAAATAATATGAATTAAGATAATAATCTAATTAAATAGATTTCAGTAATAATATTATTCAATACATATAGTAACTGCTTGTAGATTCATTAGCTTTTAATTAATAAATCTATAAACAATTTATAGATTTTAACAAAAGTATTCATTGAAGCTATAATACTACGTTGACTTACTGCCTTTGCACGAATTCATGGTTAAAAAATGTTTCTAGAAAATAAAATGCATAATAAAATCGGGAACTCAATGTAAATCATTGCATTAGAATATATTTCAGACATTTAACCTTTTAACTTGAGTTAAATACATTTATTCAAAAAAATAAGTATCCTAAACAACATTTCCTTAAATTAATATTTAATAAATTGAAATTTCTTATAAAAAATAAATATAGGAAATTAAAACTTACCAAATAACACTATTTCTTTCTAAACAATATCTCTAACGGTTTAACTATAATCAGAAAAATTATGAATAATAAATTATGTCGCAAAAGTTTACAATTTATAACCTTCAGTTTACATCTGTTATAATTCTCACGATCGATTGCTCATGATTGCATTCGAAGTAATCGTCTTGTTTTCAATTATCTACTTCGTCTTATAATTTTTAAATTCTTAGATCTTGATCACCTGTTACAAGGTTCTATATGGTGGGGTAGTGTAAACAATTCAAAGATCAGGAGACACGTGGTCGGAAAGATTTATCACTAATAATCTCGCGACGAAAAATAACACCTTTAAATTCCCATGATGGACAGATTATACAGTTTACCGACAAACGTTCAATTGTTTTTAAATTGGTTTCATTTTAACCTTTTGATGTCAGAATGCTTCAACTCTTTAAGAAAATAAATTTTTTTACTTACTTGGACAATTTGTCTGTTGGGGCTACTGGTTAAAGCACTGAACTGTCATTGTGAGGAACTGGGTTTCCATCCCCGGAATCCCACCCAGCTTCATATCAATGGGTACCAGCTTGTTTGGGAAGTAAAGGCGGTCTGTGCGCAGTGCTGTCTAGACCCCCATGGCTCACGACGGGCTCTTGAGGAAATGCTTTTCTTTTATTAATCTGGGGAAAATGGTCACCTCTCTGTTCAGTATTGATATAAATTTTGGCGATTTTTTAATTTAGAAAAAATTAATTATTGCTAGTTAGTTTAGAAAGAAATTAGTGCAAATAAGGTTGATTACTTGGAGCCTTATGATTCCAAAATAACTTAGCTAATAAAACATGAAAGTTAGTTATATTTTGGAATGCATCATATTTTTAAACTTATTATATGTTAAAATAATACATTGCTATGGATTCGTACTTTAGGTTACACTTAATAACAATTTCAAGAAAAGAAAATGTGACTGAGATATAACAATTTCAAGAGAAGGAAATGTGACATTACTGCTCTAAAACAAAATTATTTGAATTTATTTTATTTTAATCAGGTAAATTAGTAAATCTACTAAAAGTCACGTGACTAAACTTTTGAGATATAGAGCCTTAAAGACTTGTATTGATTTTCCTAACTTATCAGGTCTGTTGTGCCTAACAAATTGTGTTCACATTTAGTTTCAAAAACATTTTCCAAAAAGCATAATTTGAAACCATTTTATTATATAGTTAAAATGTAGTTCAATTTGTATTGATGATCAAATATATTTACTACAATTTCGTAAATATTAAATCTCATTTCTTACAAATCAGCGTCTTTCATACATACATTTTCATGCAATTTGCTTGAGAATTTTATAAATAATTGTTTTATTTTCCATTATGCTTATAGCTTTTAGAGTTTCAGACTATATACTAAAATTTTATTTCATGCATTTTTGACAATATGCCAAATGCCGGGCCCCCGCTAAGCATTCGACATTTTGGCAAATGCGATAAAATCGTCAATTTGACGAATAAAATTGTGTTTCAGAGAAAGTATTGGCGAATGATTTTCTCCACTGGAAAGAAAAATATATATTTAACTCGATCCTCAAAATTACGTTAAATTGAATTTTTCTAAACAAATGAGTATTTTTTTTTTTTCGATTGCAATGATTTTCGGCAAATACGCAGCATAACCAATTAGAATAAGGTTCCAATAATATAAACCTGAGACAAACTTCCGCAAAATAGTTTTCTATGAGAAAAAAATTTATCGTAAAAAATTTTTAACATTTGCAATATGCGAAGAATTTCTAAAATTGACCACTAATTTTGATATTTGGCTAATTTACCGGCTAATAATTTGAAATCCTTTGCGCGGGCCCAGTTAATGCTAATTTTTTTTCCTTACAAAAACTTTCTACTATGTTGGAGAAACTACCTCTGATCAATAAACCAGCTGTTACTTTTTAAAATCAGTCGGATAAAAATTGAAGCTATTATCGAGTGTACCTGTTTCCAGATGACTCAGGCGAGAAGACTACCTTTTTCGGCCATATGCTTGTGTTGTTTTGCATAAAACAACTTCAAATTAATTTCAAATTAAATAAAATCCAAAGCATGAGAACTATAAAGATTGAAAATAAGTTGTAAATTTAAAAACAAGTTGGCGTAACAAGACATAAATTTTAGCTCTCAGATTTCCTCTTTTTAGTGCAAAATTCTTCGAATTAATAGAGACGCCATAAGTAAGAAAACTGAAACTAAAATGTATGCCTCTCTTACATAAATTTGCGTCAAGGATTGTTATTTCAACCTTAACTGTTTTCCTGATATAAAGTCTTGAAAATTGGCAGTCTAATTTAGGGTACCACCCTTTATCATGAAAGTATCTCTACACAATATAAAATAAATTATATAAAAACGAATTGTCAATATATTAACCAGTAAAAGATTACTTTATTTCGAAAATATTTAAAAAGAGGAATGCAATTTTTCATCGTTTTTTCTTTCATAATTTTGAATTAAACTTTAAATCCGACAGTTTAGTTCACACACCTGGAGCTGCATCTAGTTTAGTTTTAAATTGGGAACATAAGCAAGAATGAAACCAATACGCCACATTATGATTTTTGTTGAAATGGTAACTCTGAAAATAGTTACCAGGGAAACATATTTCTTTATTAATGAATTTAGTTATTTTATTTTGATTTGAAAAGCACGAAAATATTAATGCCATTTTTTTATGAAATACATACTCTTTTTGTAGTTATTAGAAAAGTAATAATTTTTTCACTATAAAATTTTCTATTTTTTTTATTTTTATTGGCATTTTATTTAAGGTAATAGTATCATAAAGAAAACCAAATTCTTAAATAAAAAATATGTTATAAATTAGATTTAAATATAAATAAGGTTTTTAAATCAACCGGAACCCCTTTCACCCACCCCTCCGCGAAACCTCAGGGAACCACCATTTCCGTTTCTTTAAATACACTTTAAAAACTTTAGTGTAATACCTTTCTGAAGTCGATGCTGAAAAACTCCAAGAACCAAGAGAATGAATATTTTATTTCTAGTGTTCATGCATACACACTTTAAAGCATGTAATTAAATCTAAGCAATTATTTGAGAAAATTTGCACCCGATTCAGATGCAATTCCTACATTCAAGAATCATTATTATTTTATGCACCAATTTTTACACCAATTACGTCAAACAATGTTCAACTCAGTTGCCTGCTATTTTGAACCCAATTCAAAAGACAAGAGAACTCCAGGTTTGGGAGAAATTTGTGGAGGACTTTTTGATGGAACTAACCCGCATCTGCGTTACATGGAAGGGAAAACCATGAAAATTTCCCATGATTAGCCTGACAGCAAAAGGTCTCTAACCCAAGATCCGTTTACCACTGAGAATAATTTCAGCAGCACTGTGGTTGGTGCAAAACAGGTGCGAAATTCGTATGAACCAGCCATCACAGGTATTCAAACCGGGTTACCTAATTTGGGAGCAAGCGCTCTATCCCCTGAGCCTCCGTGGCTCATGAATCAATTTTTGGCCGATTTTGATTTACGTTTAAAAACCGTCAGAAGACAACTAATTATTTGCAATCGAGCACGAGAAGGGTAAAATTTGTAATAACCTGAAGATTCCACAGAAGCAGAAGTTTATTGTTTCAAAGGGCATGCATGATTTTAGTTGTGTAATAAAGATAATTATGATCTCTTAAGACGATTTACATAAATCTCTCAATAATATTAAATAATATTTTAATAGTTAAATTTTATTCGCTTTGGTTTGGATCTATCAGTTTCTGTTCCAATTCAATTTTGGGTGTTGAAAAACTCTAAAAATGTCGCGTTATATCAGGATTATAACGAATCAAGCATTCATACACACAGTTAAACCTAAACAGTTATTATTTGTAAAACTTAAAACCAACTCAAATGCATTTATTCCATTCATAATTGGTAAGAGGCTGGAGGATGTGTTGTTGACGTTTATGAATGCTTCGTAAATTTTAAAAAATAAAGGTAAATTCTGAATTTATTTGTGTTGGAAGTGATAAAATCGATTAGAGAAGACTTCAGCTGCACATAATAAGTTACTTAATTATTAAGATTATTAATGAAGATGGCAACTATTTTAATTTTTGATCTATGATAGCGGACATCGAAGCGAAATCTTTGTCCCGAATTCCAAGCCCACAATCAATTATTTGGCATGTAATTTCTCTTCTTTTTCCGGAGTGAGTTCACAAACTAACTATAGCCTATTTAATAGCGAAAAGTTTCAAATCTCATTACTGGTTTTGGTCGATTATTTACTAAGTAATTTCAATCTTCTTGTCGAATTGATTTTTGCAAACTGATCACGTAAACTACAATAAAAAACATGTATGTTTATTAGTTGGGTAATAAAAATATTTATTTTTATACGATTTACATAAATCTGTCAATTATATAAAATAATTTTATAATATTTAATTTCTATTCATTTTGGTTTTGCTAAGCCTAAGTTGGAATTCTTATTAACATTCTCTGAATGCTGTCGGTATGTTATAATAACAAGCTAATTTCATTTTAAGAAATACTGTATGCATGCATTCGAAGTTAGGGATTCTTACTTTATATTGTAATGTAACAATTACACTGACTCTTTGTAAATCATATCTTTCAATAATTAAAAATTTTAGTGTTAATGAATATAAAAAAATTAAAAAAAATTGTGGCGTCTACTTCACACTAAGTAGCGTAAAAGAACATTCTTGGTGCTTTAGGCTATTTTTCGAAGTCTCGTATTATGAAATTATGCTTTTTCGCGAATAATATGTAATTTTTGTAACTCCTGTGAGTTTCAAATCTTACTCATGACAGTTAGGTCAAGTTTAACCTATCTAAAGTCAGCACTGTTAACGCTTATTTTGAAAATGACGCAAAATGTCAATATGGAGAAAAGACACAGTTTAGTGAAAATTCAAAGCTTTTGTGGTCTATGACGATTTTGAAAATAGTTAACTATCTTTTAAAATTATAAAGCTCTTTGTCTCTTCTATAGCTCAGATAATTCTTCTCGGCAAGATTATCTGTATAGTTCAAAATCATCACATTGATTCAATTGTAATGCACTATGGCTTTTTTCATTTTCCTTGGCGACAAAGCTTCGAAAAACAGCGTTTACTGCATCAG